ATAAAGCTACATAAATTATAAAGTGGATTTTATAATATATTTATAACATTTCATAGTTTACAATATTTTAAGGTGAAATGATGTTGTTTCCCTTGTATGTAGCTTTTTTTTTCACCTTTTACTTTTCTGTGTATTTTTCTTTACTTTTCTCATTCTCTCCCCTACTTTAGTTCTTTATGCATGATCATTCTAAAAACTGCTGATCCACTCAAACTATTGTGTTCTCTTCCAAGAATAATCTCTATTATATGCACAGTATAGGAAGGACAGCCAGCTAGGCTGAGCTTTTTTCAGTGAGCATGTAGATAAGCAGTCACTTCTGCTGAATACAAAAGAGGCAATGTTTGTGCAAAGACAGTCCTTTGCTCACTGCCATCTAATCCTTTCGTTTTTTAATGTAAAATGTATTTTTATCAAAGTAACACATGCACAAAGCTTAACAAGTAAATAGTTCTGGAAGATTTATCACGAAATAAACAAAACCAAAACTATACTCTTCTGTCTCACCCTTTTCTTATCCCCAAGTACCATGCCCCAGAAACAACCACTTTGAACTCTTTTCCCTGATTTTCCTGGTATTTACCGCTATACTTCCGAATAATATACTCACTTGCTATTTTCTCACCTATCAATTCTAGACATTATCTGTTGACTTCCTACTTTGGAATGTGAGAATTTATATACCCCCCCCCCACACACACATTCATACTTCTATCCTCTCATGAAATTGTTTCATAATATTAATTTTGTTAATATCCAGTGCTTACATTATTATGAAGCTGTAACTATTTTTTTACAATTGATCCATAGAGTGCACTGTGATTTATTTCCTTACAACTTTTTATTGATCTCAGAGTTAATTCTTCTCCCTCAGCTTGCCTACAGCATTACAAAACTGCTCAATATAGTCAGACATTTTCGGTCTATATAAGTTCTTTGTTTTGTCTTGGAGACATCTTTTCTGGGGCCCTCTGGTCTCATATCATATTGGAACCCAAGGACTGCTATACCTCTGTATAGCTGTTGGCCTGAATGTTCCTTGATCAATATCTAATTTACTTTTCCTCTCTTATATGTTGGATGTCTGGCTTCTGGATACCATATTTTCTTTACTGATATATTCCCTCATTGGGAAATACATCTTCCAGAAGATGTCAAAGAAGAAATGCATAGGGAACAAATTTTTGACATATAAATTTAGTGTATTTAGAAGTATGTTTATTCTATTTTCACACAAATTGATAGTTTGGAAAGGAATCCTTTTTCTCAGTACTCAGGAAGCTTTGTGCTATGTCTGCTAGGGAGGGAGACAGGTGGGTATTGATAGATGGAAAAGGGTATCTGAGTACAGTTTTATCTCGAATTTCTCTTATTATATGTTGGGCTGAGCATTTTTGTTTTTACTTTTCTGTAATATTTGTATTCTACTTGTATGCTTTACTTATTTTTTCTATTTGGTTGTGGACTTTTTTATTTGTAGTACCTCCTTATATATTAAAGAAATAAGCCCCCCTTTATTTACAATAGGAATTGCTAATATTTCCCCACAAGGGCTCACTAATCTGAAAGACAATTTGATAGCATTCTTAAAAAATTAAAAATGCATTCTACTCAGGAGTTTAGTAGAAACTAAAATATTGACTGCAGAATTATTTGTAAATACTAAGATTGGAGGCAACCTAAGTGATCATCAATGAGATCCAGCAAAATAAATCATGATTTACTCATTTGGTGGAATATTATACAGCCATATATAAAGAATGAGGCAGTTCTAAATGTCCTAATAAGGAAAGATCTCTATATGTTTTTAAAGTTGAAACATAAGTTGCAGAAGTGTGTACTGTAGTTATCACTTTGAAATAAAAACTAATACTATGTATGTTTCAATTTATGCATTGGAACATTATGCAATAAACTGGTAAGGTAGGTTGCTTCTGGAACACAGTAGCTTGGAAGAAGGAATAGGTGCTTTTTCTTCTTGTAACAGCTTTATTGATATGTAGTTTATATGGCATGGAATCCACCAATATTAAGTGTATAATTCAAGAAATTTTAGTATATTTGGTATATGTACAACCGTCACTACTATCTAGTTTCAGAACATTTCCATCAGCCTAAAAAGAAACCTATGCCCATTTACAATTATTCCCCACTTTGTCTCTATATATTTTTCCTTTCTGGGCATTTCGCATATGCTTTTATACCTTTTGAATTTACTTTCTCTATTTTGAATTTATATCAACTATTCAAAGAAACATACCAAAAAATAGAATCTAATTGATTACATTACTATTCCCTCTTCTCATAAGAAGAAACTGCTTTATGAAAACGTTAAAGGAAGCCTTTGGTACTATAAGCAGACGAGAGGTGGAGACAGGAATAAAATCAGAACATTATGAACAAGATCCTATTTCCTACTTTTATTGCATCCATATTAGACCTCATTTTGGCTTAGCATACACTGAAATTTAGATTTAATCATTGTTCACCTAAGTGTAAATCTCTGTAAAAGGTCAAAACATTTACCACTCAGAAGGGAAAGAACAAATCGTTACATTGAAAAAAGATATGGGTATGAAAATAATGCTGTACAGGCACTTCACTTTTTATTGCCTTATTTTTTTAGGAATCCATAAACACTAATATAATCTTGTCATATATTACAAAGGTTGGCCATCTGCTAATGTTGAGATTAATAATCTGCCCCATGCTTAACTCATAAAAATCATGCAAATTTAGATTTGTTCGAGGTTCCGAAATTTATCCATGACATTTCCCCAGATTTATTCCACTAGATACCAGCCAATCTAATTACTTCAATGACATCTTTAACCTTTGTGAAAAATCTCTGTATAGATTTATTTATATGAATATTGTTGGCTGTTAACAATCCAAAAGCTAAATTTGTTACCGGTTTCTTGTCAAGTGAATAATAGTTAATAACGAAAATAATAAGTATGATGATAGCACCCTTTATTGAATATTTACCATAACCTGTCACTTTACTAGAGAGGTACTTTACATATATTAAGGCATTTAGACTTCACAACTATCTAGGATGAAGGCCCTATTTTATATCCCTTTTTCATTTTCAGTAAGAAATCCCATTTTTTTTCAGTAATAAACTTTTTCCTGGAGAAGTTAATGAACATGCTTAATGTTAAATTTGAACCTAGGTTTTAATCAATATGTTTTTGTGATATACATTGTTACATTAGCTTCATTCTTGACTCCATGTTATATTTTTGTCTTATGTCTTACTCCTTATTTGACTTTGTTATTTCATCTAGTATTTTATATGTCTTGACTTGTAAAGAACATTAATTCTTTTCGAGAAAGTGAAGGGTTTAAATAAATAAGCATAATGACTATTATTTGTTCATAACCTTGTACTTTATAAGGAGAAAAAATAAAGAAAAAAGTGGTTTTCAGAATATTCTGATTTCTTTCGCCATTTAAGACAGGCTTCCCCTCATGAGACAGTTTGTCTTTGCTGATCAATCAATATTGATTGAGTCAATGTGGAGAATACGGAAAATTATGCTAGAGTTCCTGCCCTCTGGGAGCTTACATATTTACTTGTTGAGGGAAAATACATGTACAAAACCACAAATATATGAAAAGTGATAGGACCGATAGTGGGTCCTTTATGTATTGCTAGTCAATGGTGAAGGCAAAGGCAAGGCATGCATTGTTGGAAATAGATTTTTTTAAGGATTGCCAATCCCTGAGGTAAATAACATTTGCATACTTTTAAGAGTTCTATAGCAAAATATTTGGGCAAGATGCTCTTTAAAGTCTGTCCACTTTAAAAATAATATTGTTTTATGAATTGTACAGTAAGTACCGTTCAGTACAGTGAAATTCCAATTAGGAAAGGAGTAATGTGTTGCATGTAGGAGGTGGGCACTGAAAGTAACTGGGGAAATATAGGGAACACTAGTCCTGTGTGTGTGTAGCGTAGTTCGGGGTGATGGATGGAGAAGACGGTAAGTTGCTGGCAAAAGTCACCCCACTAAGCAAATTTCCCCCAAATGGGTGCTTGTTCAAACTTTGTTGAGCCCCTGAAAAACACGTTAAAGGAAAGGCCCAATATACTACTAGAATTAAAATGGCGACTGTGAGATACACAGAAAAGGAAGTCAATTTGTGTGGCCCATTTCCACGTTCCTTCCATCTCTAACCAATTAAGACTGAGGCACCACTCCCATCCCCACTTTCCCTTTCAAGCTCCCAAATGGTAGATCGTAACTATCGCTGCATTTTTCATACCTACTCTTTATGACGAGGCTCGACCTGTGCTCTTTTCCATCCAAGGTACTGTGACTATTTCCTACAAGTGCTCATTATCATCAGCTGAGGTGAGAAGCACATTCTCTTCCAGTTGGCAGGGAACTACGATGGTCTGGAAACAAAAGCCTAGGTGTCAGTCTGATCTGTACAAAGCAGTGGTTTCATTTGGTGGGGTAAAGGTTTTTTGGTGTTTGTATTTGTTTTTGTTTTAGAGGATGGAGAGGGTCTGCAAATAAAAGATGGCGTAGGAGGAAAGCTATAAAATAGTTTTTCCTGTGCTCAAGTAGGTCGAGGGTAGCCAAGTTGGGACCCGGCTTGGAGTTAAAAGTGGAGGCTGCTTGGGGGCAGTCTTGCAGTTCTGGGACCACCCCCCTGAGATCCAGGGCAGTGGGTGTGGAGGGTTGAGAGCTGTTCCATCCACGCCGCCCAAGACAGACATCAGGGACTTCTCAGAGGCGCGTGCAATAGGAAGGCAGGCCGCCCTGCTTCACCGCCGCAGGCCTGGGCCCAGAGGGCGGAGGGCGGAGGGCCCCAGGCGCGCGGCCGCGCGGAGGAAGAGACGGCGGCGGCGCCCACTCCCCCTCGTCCCCGCGCCCCGCCGCTCGCCTCCCGCAGCCGGGCGCCGGCGCGCTCGGCTCTTTCCGCCGCCGCCGCTGCCGCGCGCTGCCCCGTGCGCTCCGGCACCTTCGGCAATTTCCGTCGGGCCTTGGCCGCCATTTTCTCGCCGCTTGTGTGTCTCGCTGGCTGCGTGGCTCGGTTCTTGTGAGCGAAGCTTTGTCCGGTTCGGCAATGGACGGGTATGTAATGGGGCCGGCGAGGAGGTGTGTGAGAGGGGAGTTGGACCCTCCTTCGGCCCGGTTCGGGGTCGGCCAGAAACCCTCCGGCGGCCCCTCCCAGGGCTGAGCTGCCGTTACCCAACCCCCGCCCCATCGCACACACCCCTCCCTTCGCTTCCCCCGGCGGGCTCTGGTCGAGAAAATGAGAAGAAAGCGGGCTCGTAGACTGCGGAGGCATTGGGGCGATGGCGGGGGCGACGACCCCGGAGGGGTAGCGGGCACGGACTGGGCGGCGGGGGATGGGGTGGGAACCCCAGAACGTCTGGCCCGTCCCTGCCCCCTCTAGGAGCCATTTCGATCCGTAACCTGGGACCCGAACCCTGGGTAGCCGCGCCTATGGGAGCGAATGTAGTGGCCAGCGTGAGGCCTGTGTGGGGGTTGTTAGGGGAGAGGAGAGAGGCATCTTGTGCACCCCAGCCGTCCTCTGCCTCCCCGGCCTCGCCCGGCCGGCCCTGGCTGGGGGAGATGCCGGTGGCGGGAGCTCTGGGGAAGACTAAGTGGGAGCCGCTGGGGAAGGGGGGGGGGGCGGGGAGGGCGTGCGGCGGCGGGAGGAAGGGGGAAGGCAGATGTCATACTCCTTTGTTTTCACTTGAGTCTGGTAGTGGGGGCGGGAGGCCGAAAAAATGCCTTTTTGTGGGGGCCTGAGAACATTCAAGCCTTGGCAGAAGGGCCCAGAAATTAAATCATCTGAAAAACCGAGTGTTTGTGGTCGACATCAGTCACATGGGCAAAGGCCAACAGCCATGGCAGAAACAAGAGCAGATAGTCAACACAGGGCCATTTTTTTAAGCCACTTTGACCAGTTTCGGGAAAAACAAAAACAAGTCCAAAAAGCCAGGTCCGTGCCGCATCTTTGAGAGCTCGAGTAGAGCTAGAATGCTGAGTGAGGTGAGGGCAAGGGCTTTGGGAAATGACCGCGACCGGGGTCTCCCCGGTACTTAATGCTCTACATCTGAAAAGACTTAATGATTTAATTGTTGGAAAGGAGGCACCCTTGAGGGCGAAAATAGAGCTATGTTCGGCCCTTTTAGGGAAAAAAAAAAAAAAAACCCAGTTATTTAAAAAGTACATTTATTAGAATCAATGACAATATATCAAGAGTCCAGTAAATTATGAGTTTATTTTGATTAAGTGTTTGGTGTTTTTAAAAGGTATTAAGGGAAGACCATATCAAAGTGAACAGAAACAGAACCTTAAATGATCCTACTGGTATCTAGAGATAACTTTCCACATGAAACCTAGATCTAAAGAAGTTTGCAATTTCCCCAGGTTAACATGGAAATTGATGGCAAAAGTTGGCACTGGAATTCATGTTTCCTGATTGTATCAAGATAACCAAAGAGTTGGAAGTTTTAAATTATTAACCTAAGTGTACTAGCTTTGTAGAAATGACATTATAGTTTGGGAGTTTTGTTCTTTTTGGTATTTACTGGGTTATTAAAAAATGCCATGAGTTTAGTGAATTTCATCTTAAGTTTGAAAGCAGTTTTTCAAAAACTGAGTTGAAAATACTACACAGAATTGTCACTGACCATCTGTGTGTTTTCCATTTATATGGTTAGTGGAAGATCTATGAATGATGAACTGCCCTAAAAAGTTTTAGAGACCAGCAGTGATCATTAAAAGAATAACAGGTTGAAACTATTTTTTTTTCTTTACAGAATTGTCACTGAGGTTGCAGTTGGCGTGAAGGTAGGAAAAAATTGTTTGAAACTAATGGAAACAGAATGGCTGAATTTACTATTACCATCAATGGAAATTTTAAGTTAGCTTTTGAAAGTTAGAGTTAACAAAACTCAAGTGTTTTCATTTAATTTTGAAAGTTGGATTACATAGTTTATAATCTAAATAGACAAAACTAAGTTTTTCTAGAATAGCTGTGAGAGTAACATTTTTAAGTAGGTATGAATGGTGTTCAGGGAATTAAAAATGCTTTCAGACATGGTTTTTTGTGAATATAAAAATGATACCCCATTTTTCTGAAGAGAAATTATGGTTTTAAGTGGGCAGATAGTGATTTGACCTAAGTCATATAATTTTATTAATCCAAGTTTTTTTAACTTTCGATTATGAAGGCTAAAATATGTGTCAGTAGTGAGCCACATTAGAAATCTGTTATCTTGATCCTTAAAAGAAATGAAACTTGTTTCAGCAGTTAGCTTCAAATGAGTCAGGAGGTAAGAGCTGGTTTGTCTTTCTATTAAGGGAAAATAGGTGTTATAGCACAGATCATTTGGAACCTTTCCCTCACATTTTGGCCAGGAAAACTACTACTTTAGACTTTAGTTCTAATACTTAGGCCTTTGATTTCCTTGAATTGTTGCATATTTTAACAACACAATATGTTAAAATTTTTGTTAGCAATCCTGTTTTCCGTGTTTGGGTATGGTCCTTGTCTTCTATCTTTTTAATTTTTCTAGTCTGGCACAACATACTCCAAACCTGATACACAAATACTTGTTGGACGCAGTAACATTTCCCCCTTTCAAGTGTGAGTAGTCTTCAGAGGCTTTGTCCTTAGTGTAGTGATGGTGACTGTCACAATTATTTTTTGTGATAGTCTTTTGAACACTTTAGGGGATATTTTGTATTTTTTTGCTGTCCTCTGCCCTGTAGTGCACTGGATACTTGTCCATGCTTAAAATTTTTTTTATAGATGTTTTATTTATTTTTGAGACAGAGAGAGCGAGCGCCAGTGGTACAGTGGGGTGTGGGGCAGAGAGGAAGATACAGAATCCGAAGCTCCAGGTTCTGAGCTGTCAGCACAGAGCCCAGCACAGCGCTTGAACCCACGGACGATGAGATGAGATGACCTGAGCCTGAGATTATGACCTGAGCCAAAGTCAGATGCTTAACCAGCTGAGCCATCCAGGCGCCCCATTTGTCCATGCTTTAATATTAAGCTTATTTGTTGAGTTTATATTGTGTACATTGGAGGAGAAAGAGCTTTTTTTGGGGAAGGCATTTATTTTTATTTGGCAGTGTTATTTTCTAAGTTGAGGTAGTTGCAGGATTTGAAATCAGGAATAACCCAAGATGCAAGATATAGAATGTGTAGTTACCACCCAGATAGGTATCTTGTGGAATTTTGTAAAAGAATGAATGACACAAGTCTGAGTTGGCCACTGTTAGTGGGTGAGGAGAGAAGGAATTCAGACGAGCCACCATGAGTAGGCCGAGAGAAATGAGGAGACTTGGCATCGGATGTTCAAGTAGGGTTTATTGGTCCTACCAGTTTCTGTATTAGTGGCATAAAAAGAAAAAAATTGCAAAATGATGTAAAAATAATTGCCAACCTTTTTTTTTATCCATTGTTTAATACAAAAGTTTGAATAACTGAAGTTTTGTTTTATGAACTTTTCTGAGATAGTGGTAAGAATTTTTGCCTTGAATGCATGCCTATGTATCAGTAATTAAGTTCTCATTATGTATAGATTTCTCCATGCCCTTAAAAAATTCAAAGTAGAAGTTATTTCTCCTTGAGGCCCAGTCCTGTTTCTCAGGTGTAGGTAATTATGTTAAATTTTTTCTGGTGCTTCCCCCCGCCACCTGAAGTGTTACCAGCTCACATATTATCAAACATTATCATCTTTGCTTATTTACACAAATGGATTATTAACATATATACTCGTCCACATCTTACCTTTAAAAAAATAGCTTTATTGAGATACAGTTTAATATAAATGAACTGGACATATTTTAATTACACAGTTTTTGATATATAATGCATCTGTGAGACCGTTATCACAATCAAGATAATGAACATCCATCACCCCCAAAAGTATTATTTTGCCCTTTTGTAATCTTCCCTTCTTCCTTTACCCAAACAACCACTGATCTGCTTTCTGTCACTATAGGTTGTTTGGATTTTTTAGAATTTTAAATGAATCCATATGCACTCCCTTTTTTGGGGGGAGGTCTTATTTCACTCAGAGTAATTATTTTGAGATTTACCCATGTTGTCTATCAATAGTCTGTTCCTTTTTATTGCTTAGTAGTATTACATTTTATGGATATACAGCAATTTATCATTTAACTCTTGATGGACATGTGGGTTTCCAGTTTTTGACTATTGTAAATAAAGCTGTAGATATTCCTGGAAGTCTTTGTGTGAACTTTTGTCTGTCTTGGGGAAAAAACTTTGATGGGAACAGTTAGATCATGTGATACGTGTATGTTTTTAACTTTTTAAAAAACTGCAGACTGTTTTCCCAAGTGGTTGTATTATTTTACATTGCCACCAATAGGGTATGAGATTTCCAGTCCTTCTGCGTCCTTTCCAGTGCTTGTCGTTCTGATTCTAGACATTCCAATGAGGGTGAAGTGGTAATCTTGTGGTTTTAGTTTGCATTTTACTAATGTCTGTGATGCTAAATATCTTTTCATGTGTTTTTTGCCAGCTGTATATCTTTGGTGAAGGTCTCTTTATATCACCATATCAACCTGCCCACTTTTTAAGTTGGGTTACTATTGACTTTTAAGAAGTCTTTATTCTGGTTTTAAGTCCTTTATCAGATATGTAGTTCATAGATACTTTTTTTTTTTTTTGCCCTTTGTAATTTCATTCTCTTAATAGTGTCTTTTGAACAACAATTTTTAATTCTGATGAACTTTATGAATTTTATATTGTTCTGGCTTGTGCTTTTGGTGTCATGTCTAAGCCGTCTTTGCCTAACCCAAGGTCACAATGATTTTTTTCCTTTTATTTCTAATAGAGGTTTTATAGTTTAGGGTTTCGCATTTGAGGTTTTTTGTTTTTTTTTTTTTTTTTAGTATGATGCAGAGTATAAATCAACATTTCTTTTTTGGGGGGTGTGGAGTTAAACTTTTTCCAGCACTGTTTGTTGAGAAGGCTGTCTTTTGTTCATTGAATTGGTTTTACACCTTTGTCAAAAATCAATTATCCATGTATGTGTGGTTCTATTTCTGTACTGTATCCTTTTCCATTGACCCATTTTTCTCCATCTAGATGCCAAAACATACTCTCTTAATTATTATGACTTTATATTATGTCTTGACATCAAGCAGTCATGGTTTTCTTTATTCTTTTTCAAAGTTGTTTTGGTTCTTCCATGTCCTTCATATTTTTATGAGTCCGTTTCTATAGAAAAGCTTGCTAGGATTTTATTGGAATTAACTTGAATGTAAAAAGCAATTTGAGGTAAATTGACATCCTAACAATGTTGAATTTTCCCATTCATGAACACAATTTATCCATTTACTTAGATCGTCTTTAATTTCTTTCAGCAGTGTCTAGGTTTTTTTTTTTTTTAATTAGAGTGAGAGTGCACATGTATGCACAAATGAGAGAGAGGCGGGGAGGGGGGGAGAGAAAGAAAGAGAGAGAGAATCCCAAGCAGGCTCTGCACTGACAGTAAGGAGCCCAATGCAGGGCTTGAACCCACAAACTGTGAGATCATGATCTGAGCCGAAATCAGTCATTGGATACTTAACCCACTGAGCTACCTGCCACCCAGGCACCCCAGCAGTGTTTAGTTTTCATTGTACAGTGTTTGTGCATTTTTGTCAGATTTATTCCTATTTCCTGCTTTTTGGTGCTGTTATAAATGGTATTTTTTAAACCTCAGTTTCTAGTTATTAGTGTAGAGAAATACAAATATTTTTGCATATTCTTGTATTATTTACTCTTGATAAACTCACTTGTTAGATATAATAGCTTTTTTTGTAGACCCCATCAGATTTTCTGCGTACACTGTTGGTCTTACATTTTCCTTTCCTATCTGGATGCTGTTTTTTCCCTGTCTTGTGGTATCTTAGTACAGTACTGAATAGAAGTGATGATATTAGAGTGAACCCCTAAATGCTATTCTTCCTTAAATGTTTGGGCAATTTACCAATGCAGTTGTGTGGGCCTGATGTTTGTTTTCTTTGTGGAGGTTTTAAATGACACATTTAGTTTATTTAATAGATACAGGACTATTCAGGTTATCTATTTCTTCTTAAATGAACTGTGGTAATTTGTGCCTTCCATGTGAATTAGTCCATTTCATCCAAGTTACTGAGTTTATTTGCACAGAGTTGTTTATGATAATTACCTTTTTTATAACTGTTGGTTTCTGTAGAATCTGTAGTGATGTCACTTTTTTCATTCCTGATATTGGTAATTTTGTCTTTTTTTTTCCTTGTTAGTCTAGGTAGAGATTATTGATTTTATTAATATTCTCTAAAAATCAGCTTTTGGTTTCATTGAGTTTTCTGTTTCCTCTTTTACTGATAACTAATGTTTTAATTTTCTTCTGCTTTGTACTTAGTTCTTTTTCAACTTAGTTATGTTGAAGCTGGTATCATTGACGTGATACCCTTTCTAACATAGAGGTTTAGTGCTGTATATTTCCCTTTTTTATTTTTTAATTAAATTTTTATGTTTTTCTTTATTTCTGAGAGCAAGAGAGACAGAGCTTGAACAGGGGAGGGGCAGAGAGAGAGAGAGAAAGAGAGAGAGAGAGAGACCGACCCAGAATCTGAAGCAGGCTCCAGGCCCTGAGCTGTCAGCACAAGCTGGCCTTGAACTTGTGAACCACAAGATCATGATGTGAGCCAAAGTTGGACACTTAACTAAGCCATCAAGGTGCCCCAATATATTTCCCTCCAAGGTACAGCTTTGATGGCCTCCCTCAGAGTTTTTTTTAAGTTTATTCATTTTGAGAGAGAGAGAGAATATCCCAAGCAGG